GCCGGTACCCATTTATACACCTGGGTGGAGAGAGGCACTGTGAGAGTAAAGTGTCTTGCCCAGGAACACAACACAATGACCCCGGCCAGGGCTCGAACCTGGACCGCTCGATCCGGAGACGAGCGCACTAACCATGAGGCCACCGCGCCTCCCACTATCTGACAGTACTTTAACCGAAATATTCCAGAATCTCCTATCATAATTCAAACCTACATGTATGACCAATTTGACACTGTATCACTGAGGTATAGTCAGCTATTGGGAGATGGGTGGTGGTTCATACTTTTATGCTCTATCCATATGCATACATGTACGTGGTGAGCATGGATGTAATGCAGATATCCTGCTTTATCAGTTAAATAAAGTAGGTGTATCCAAGATTACACTGTAGCTTCTGAAAATACAGTACTTGTAGTCTATAAGACATTTTCGCTTGGATAGTTGAATGGTAATAGTTTGCTCTACTGTATTTTACAGGTGGAAACTCTTGAAGGAGAGGAAAGATACAATCGAACAATCAGACAGCTCTTGGACGATCATCAAAGTGTCGTGACTCATCTGGCTGAGGGATTCCATGAATGTCAGAAGAACGTACCGGTAAGTCAATATCATCATCATTGACCATTCCTTCTACATTACAATGATATGGGGAATAGGTTAGAATAATTTCCAAGTTGTCTTTTGCCTCTGTGTAAAATTGGTCTTATGAAAATGCATTCTGCCTGCAGGTTCATTTTCATGCAAATCAAACTCATTTTCATATGAAAGGTTTTTCTTGAGGACATGATTTAAAACAGAAGTACAAAGTAGCTCAGAAATGGCCTATTCGGCTACAACAAAGCATCTTCAAACTGCTCTGTCTGCTGCTACTAACAGCTGCCATGTCTGCCAAGATATTTCAATCCATCTCCATCTGGAACATCCAGGTTTCTGGTGGACAGCCTCTTCTCCTTCTGCCTTATGGCACTTACAGCTGTATTGTAACGTGGGGGTGTGCATGATGGTTCATTCCAATGACATAACACAACCACATCTGACTCCTTATCCTGCTGTTCTTTTGACTTCCTTGTTTGGCGTCATATCACAGTGGAATTTTTGTTTACCACCATGCAGATACATGTATGTCGTAAGAGTTTGCAAAACAATTGGCAGGTTGCCTAGAAATTACATAATGTTGTCTATGGTTGTGTGGAAAACCTGAATAGCAAATGGCCAATTAAGATTAGTGAAGGTCACAAATGTTGCAGAGGTGATGAATGGTCTGACACAAATGGTGGCAATTTGTCGCTATTACTAAAAAAAAATCAGGCTTACAATAATTGTTATTATTGAGGGCTAACCACTGTTGAGTCAGTGATATTGAGGCCACCAATGTACTATGGGATAACTGGAGTGCTGCTCAGGCTAAATGTACAGTAGTACTTAACCCATGCTAACCTTGACTAGTTGCCACTAATCATGACTACCTGTATTCCACATTGTACCATTGATGTAGCTGTTCACACTATTTGTCACTGTTCACACCTATTCACTTTCCTTGTACAGCATCAAAAGAGAGGCAAGACGTTTTGTTTCTAATTTTATATGCATAATAAGTCGACCTAGAGATCATTAATGCAGTGAAATTTGAATTTTGTATTGAGTTTCATTTCAAATACTAGATTCTTCATTTGAGGGGTGGAACTTTGAAGGGAAGGATGAAAACGATCTTGGCAATTATCAGGTGGGGATCTAGGATAAATGGTGACGATGTCTGAAACAACCAGCGTTGAATGCACAGGCTTCTAGAGGGGTCTTGGGGCAATACTCCCACAGGAAATGTTTTGGATTTTAACTCTGTCAAGTCCCCTTTATTGGGTTTCTGTGTCATTCTGAAAAATCTGACCGATTCCTGTAAAACAGTGGAGACCAATATGGATCCGCACCTGGTAATCCCATTGAAATGTAAACTTATAGATGCAAGTTTGAGTTATGAGTAGTTTTGTTTTCGCAGTATGAAATTATAGATGCTTTTCTTAATCGTACATTGACATCTCGACTTGGAATCCGCATGTTGGCTGAACATCACCTCGCTCTGAGCATTGATAAGGTAAACTGGTGGAAATCTTTTGGAATTGCATCCATTAAACTATTAACTAGTAGGTGTTAAGGATAAACAGAAAATCTTAAAAAGTGTGGAACAGTCTATTACATCCATTGCAAACAATGTGACAAACTTAAAGTAGAATATGTTGGCAAAACTTCTAGTGTATTAGAAAGTAAAGTGAAGGAACATCTGTCAAGGAATTTGTCAGCTGTTCATGAACATTGCTAGCTCACGGAACATTCAGTGGATTCTAGCAAAACAAAGGTTCTTGCCACGGAAAGCAACATGTTCAAACGTCACATAAAGGAGACAATTGAGATCTGATTATGAAAGCCCTCTTTGAACAGAGACAATGGCTTTGAATTAGCCAACATCTGTGACACCATTTTAGCCCCTTCAAGACCATAATGAACATCATGTAACCCTTCTTCACACTTATTGTGGCTGATGAAGTTTGCTGGAACTGAATGAAATATTCCACTTTTAATAACATTTTTAATTGCGCTCTGAGAACAGGAATTTTTTCTTTTATATTTTATTCATGATTCCAGAGTAGGAACACAATATTTTTTATTCTAAAATTGCTGATATGTTAGTTGCAATATTTTACAGTTCTTTATGTTGTCCTCCATGTAATTTACCATTCCTACATATGTCATAAAATAATTTCCGTGCATTTTTAACAATCTTGACAAAATAGCTGGTGGTGTTATATTGAGTAAGCAGACATTAGAGAGTTTTCACGTGATCAGTATTTACAGCAGAAGCCATTCCAAGCTTAAGAGACAACTTACATGTAGTTTGTATATGACCATTTCCAATGTCCAGGAAAATCTCAGCTCTTGATTTAATTTAGAAAATTATCCTGGTCAAAGTAAACATGTCCTCTCTATTAATCAAACTTGAATACCAAATAACTATTTTCATTTTCATTTACAGCCAAACTACATTGGGATTATTTGTACTCACCTTAACCTCAGACAAATTGTTGAGAGATCTGCTGATTTTGCTAGGTAAAATTAATTTGTAACTGTCATTTTCTTTGTTAATTTTTTTGGTGACGCTATCACTGCCTGATGTCTATGTCTTTTGGGTCTATGGGCAAGTATTTCTTTTTGCGCTGGCATATACATGTACTTTACCTTGGCACTCTACAGAAGTTGCAAATTTTGAATTTCAGTGCTGGCTTTCCAAAAAAAACAAACAAACAAACAAACAAACAATACAGGGCTTATGACCATTTCCATGAAAACAATCTGCATAGCAAAATCCTGACTAAGAAAGAATCAATCACAATGCTTGGATTTACCTTAAGACTACCTTACCATATAGTAATACTAAGTTAATATTAGGTACTTTTGTATCTTTTTCTCCTCATCAGTAGAAAGAAAACTGGTAGGAGTGAGACTTTGCAGAAGTAGTATATTTAACAAATAGATTGCATGTTGCTTGGCATCTGTTCAGTAACAGATCACAGAGGACATCAAAATGTGGTCAACACAAAAGTGGCACACGAGGCAATAGCCAAGTGTGTCACTGATGTTCTTACTACGATATGACCTCTTCTGTGATCTGTTACAGAACAGATGCATGGTAACAATTGGAATCTACTTGTTTTTTTATAATAAAGAAACACAAAGAATGCTAATGACATCATCTATGTGTCTGTCCTCCAATTGTAAAGTGAGAATAATTTAACTTATTATTTAATACCCTATGGTTAAGTGGCAGAATACTATGGTAATTATTGTAGTATGCATCTTCAAAGGAGTTAATTTCTCTTTTTCAGGCAAGTCTGTGAACACACATATGGTGTAGCTCCAGGCCTTATTGTTAATGGCCACACAAAAGCAGTCTTCCCTTACATTCCTGCGCCACTGGAGTACATTCTCCAGGAACTTCTGAAAAATGCCATGAGGTAAATTAATGAATCTTTGACTTCTGAAGACATTTTCCCAGCCTTGTCCATTCAGGTGCATGAAACATTGCTTTCTACCACTCTCTCATGACCGAGTGGAAAGAGTAAAATGGAAAGATCCAGTAAACACCCATATGTAAGAACAAGTGGAATTAGAACATCAGGCTGAAAGACTTGGCCAATAAAGCACCATATAATTGAGAACCAATTCAGCCTGATAAATAAAACATGTTCTTATATGAAAAGAAAGAGGATGACTGAATAAGAAACCACTCATATTAAAGTTCTATGGTATTTAAAATTTATTTTTTAGTGTATTTCTAAGTAATTTAACATTGTATGTTAATGACATCTTTAGTAATGTATGAAGAGTAGTATTTCTGAAACAAATTTTAAGAACATTTTCAGGCTGATATTGCACTAAGCACCTGGTAAATAAGAACTTGATCAGCCTGAACTCCGAAATCATAGGTTCTTATTTATGATATGTGGTTGTTTGCTGTATTCTCATGCAAAATTTTTTTCATTTCAGAGCCAGTGTGGAACACCACCTTGACACGCCTCTCGAGGTGCCAAATATTGTCGTCACCTTGTGCAGTAATGACACAGAATTCTTTGTCAGGTAACAACAACTATAGTGGACTACATCTTATACAAAACAAACTCACATGCACTCAGTCACTCAACCTTGCCTAGTCTTTGCAGCTCATAAGGCAAATGAACACCAGCTAGTTTTTTTTTTTTTGAAAAA